GTAAATTCCATGCTTTTCCAGTGGCGGGTCAAAATGACCCGCAAGGGACACTTTTGATACTTTTTTTTTTATAGCACCCACTTAAACTGCTCGAATTCACTCAAATTTGTTTTCATGTATTCCCGGTTCAAGTGTGACAAAAGTAAAAAAAGTCTCAGAACATAACGATCAACGCTTAAAGAAAAATCTTTAAAAATTAGTTTTGGGTCAAAATGAACCGAGGGACGGATGAGGGCTAGTTAAAAATTAGTTAAATGAATTTCTTTGAATTTTAATTCTACTTCCTTACATTGAGATTTGAATTGCACTTCTTCCATCCTGTTTGCTACATCAATTCAGGAATTGAATTGGAATTTAAAATACCTTCTCAATCCAAATCCAAATCGCACACAACCCCAGTTTCCACACACTGAACTGTTATGTTCACAAAAAAGAACTGACTTCACCACTTTTAGTTGTATTAATTCACTTGCACTAACCTGTGTGATGGTCTGTGCGTGTCTTCTATCTATGCATGTGCTGGTTGCCCGTCTCACTCTTGGCTCGTCTCTTCTTCTTTAGATTCCTCTAGCCGAGATGGAGGCTCTGTCTCTGGCGTCGGAGAAATCCTGGTCCTTAGCTCTGACGGATGACTCTGTCCCAGATGATTTTAACCCCCTCTTACTTACCAGTCAGGAGTGCAATGTATTTAACAGTAGAGCAATGTTCATTTTCCACTCCTGCCTCTCAGCCTTACACTGCTTCCAAAGACATCTGCCCTCTCCATCCTGCTTCAGTATTTGACCCTGAATACTTCAGCCCTATAGGCCCTGTAATAGATTTCCTCAGTTAAATGTTTTAAGCTAGTTACAACACAGTTTTAGCTAAATGTTCTTCAGAGTGGCACCTTGAAAGTCCCCTTGGTTTCTTGTGGTACCCGATTTTGTGGAGTTACTGCTAAAAGTTTCAAATCACAGTGACACTACTAACCTAACAACTACATTTCGCAGTAGTTTTCCAGTTTTTCCAACATGTGCAAAACTAAATTATGCACGTTTTCCAGTGACAAACAATTTTAGTATCAGCTGACAAAATGCTATAACATTTATATAATATTTTGTCAATTGCTGATGTTAATCACTATACTTTCTACTTATTTACACTGCAGTTACAAACGTTTGGTATCGGTACGTGTTTTTATGTTTTTGAAAGAAGTGTCTTGTGCTCACCAAGGTTGCATTTAAAAAAAAAAATAGAATATTACAATTTAACTTTTTTTCTGTTCTAATATATTTTAAAACAGTATTTATTTCCTGTGATGGCAAAGCTGAAAGAGTCGCTACTCCAGTCTTCAGTGTCACGTAATTCTTCAGAAATCATTGTAATATGCTGATTTGGTGCGCAAGTAACATTTTTTTATTATGTTGAAAACTTGTTGAATAAAAGTAATAATGTGCTTAGAAAAATCTAACTGAACTTTTGAAAGTTATTGTACGTTAAATATAAGTAGGTATTAAACCTAATTAAATATCTGCCATGCCAGGGATGTATGATTGATTTATACCAAAACTATGCCAGTAATCTGTTTTCTGACACTTGGTAGTCTGATTAATTTGTAAAAGTAGAGCATCTTCTTCATAATCACTTTATGCAGAGCTGAGAGGCAAGTGCGTTTGGAAGCTTTGGGGGTTTCTAAGCGTCCGCTCCTTTCTTTCTTTTTCTCTCTTTCCCTCTCTCTGTACATTTTGCACCAGCCTGGTGTTTGTATGGTCCAGTCCAGTCCAGTAGAGTAGTATTACTGCCTGTCAATCTGCTCCTTTCCTGTTCTGCAGCTATGTCCCCATTCTTCCTCCCACACGTCTAAAGGCCATTTCTGAATCTCTTCTCCATCTAGTCTCTTCATACTTTTTAGATGTTCCTGTTTGCATCCTCAATCTATCGGTCTGCATATCTACCGGTGTCTCTTTGTTTTTGTTTCATGGTTTTATTTATGTCTTATCTTTTGTGTATTAAAAGTGAAGTTTCTCCCTAGTACCATGCTTCTTGAAAGAATACAGGAGTGTGGTATGGGGTCGGCTTCTGCTGTCTGCCAGCTACCGTAGTACAGGCTCTGGGCACAGCTTCTGAAGGGAGGAGGCTGATGGTTTCTGTCACCTCGCAATTGAATTCATATTCATTGTCTCAGAACTATGCCCATAGATCCATAAATAATTTATGCATAGCATCTCTCAGATGAGTGAGATTTAGATCCAGCCGGTTCTCATTTTTCTGTTGTATTTATGTGGATGAAAAAAGGCAGAACAATGTTCACTGAGATGTGCATAACTTCACAATGTCCATAAAGCAGGATAAAAATGCCACCATAAATCTTAATGGGTATGTAAATGTTACCCACAAAGAATGATTAAATACTATAAAGTGGAAGGGAGCAAATTTACTCAAAACACATTTAATCACAAATAATGATCAGAATATAATGGACAAATATTAACAAAACAACTGAAATCTATGAATATGAATATGTGGACTTGCCTGAGTGTTATTTCAAGGAAAAATTCACCAAAAATTGTTAAAAAAAAAATGTCATTATTGGTTACTCTTACTATTGTTTACTAATCTCATGTCATTCCAACCCCGTATTTCTTTCATTTTTTCATGAAAATTAGAAATTCTGAAGAGTATTACTTCAAAAAAATGACACAAAAATACCAAAAAGTATCATAATTTTTGGTTCTTAAGACTCATTTAACAGATTAACAGACCAAAATTTCCAAACGGAGTCAGTGTGTCTGATTCAATCTGATTCATGAATCATTCGGTTTTGTGAACTGGATGAGGCAATTCACTAAAAAGAAAAAAAAAAGAAAAATTATAGCGAATGTTCATACTTTCATCTGTAATTTAAATGTATATACAGTATACAATACATTGATATGAAAAATTAATTAGATGTACATATTCATATAAGAAATATGCATTTGCATTCATACAACATGATTTATGGGAACATGTTTCTTGATCAGTCTCCTCCCTGTGTCTAGTGCACAGTGATGTTTGCCTTTCATTGTATGCTAACCAGTCCAACCTCTATGTATTAGGTACAATGTGTGTGCGTGTACGTCCATGTGTTCATAAGGGCCCCTGATGCTCCAAACACAAGTACCAGCTCTCACCTTGACTTGCATCTCTTTTAATGCCCCTCAGACCACAGCTCCAGCAGGTCCCACAGACCCCCAGCAGCCAGACGAGCCAACGGATGAGCACTTACTGTACGTGAAGAAGACCTCAGTGGGCCGTACACATTCTCTGCCCAATGACAGCTACATGTTCCTGCCGCTGCAGCCCAACTCAACCCACAGTACCCACACAACCTCACCTCACCTCGCTCAAACAGGTAGAGCACTGCATTTTATTTCTGTTTGGTTGTTATACAAAAATCAATAATTGTGTAATATCAATTCAACAGGCTCTATAGGCTCTATCCAGTCTCAAACAGAAGAACCCACACAACACTTGACTGTGCTCACCGATCTGTTCAGACCGATCAGTCCTCATAGCCTATCAGACTCAGAGAGCATCCCACGAATCCCCCCACCTCGACGGGCACACACTCTCTCACGAACCCTACGCAGACAGGTCAGTTCAGGTTCAGTCTTCTCAGTCCTTTCATTGCTTTCTTTAAAATGTGTTTTGCTTACAGAGTCTGTTCTATTAACAAATGTTGAGGCACTCTGGTTTTGTTGACTGCACATAGTAGCTCAATTCCAAAACCTAGTGAGCTGCCTCAGTAAATATAATACTTCTTATATATTCAACTGCCACATACACAACCATTCAAAAGTTTGGGGTCAGAAAGATATTTAAAATGTTTTTGAAAGAAGTCTTTTATGCTCACCAAGGCTGCATGTACTGTATTTGATCAAAAATACAGTAAAAACAGTAATGTTGTAAATGTTTGTAACAGTTTTTTTTTTTACCGTAATATTGTATTTTATTATAATTTATAATAACAATTTTCAATTTAAATATTTATATAGTATAGTACATTTGCATTTGGGATGCAACTTTAGAATCTGGCTGAAGTTATTTAGTTATTTTAAGCATCAAAATAAGTTGGAATAACCTCAGTATCAGGAGCAGCATATGACTGTGTTGTCTCCGTAGGCAGCTCACTAGGTTTTGTAACAGCAGTTCTCTCTGCTTGTCTTCTCTCATAATGCGTAATATTCCTTGTCTATGGATTTTGATTGGAGACTTATGGGAATGTGACTGGTATGAAGTCTGACACATCTGCACTGTTGATCTCTCCCTCTGGCTAGTATATTTCTTCTCTAAATCCTTCCTGCATTCTCTCCTTTTTTTCTGCTGCTTTTTGACCTGCGTACCCTCTAATGTGACTTACTCTGAGCAGCTCAGCATGGTACAACTCAAGCCTGACCCCGAGCTGCTCCTGAGGCACAGATACTCCTGTTCCTGAGAGAGCCGGAATGGGCTGCTTGGTTCAGCTGGCCTCCAGCACCACAGATCCTTGAACTCCATCCCCAAATCTTTCCCTCTTTCTCCTACCACACCCCTGAAATCCCGTTCCTCCAGCCCAACGCATTTCACCATGGCTACTGAAATGGCCAAAACTGCAGGTTAAAGATCGAGGGGAATTAAATTATTGGATTTACATCATTAACACAGATAATTTTAATTATGGTGATTATGATTTATATATGAAAATCTTCCAAAAATATGTATTCAAACTGTATTACTTTAGCTTCTTGTTTTTAACATTAACTTACAAAATAGCATGTATATATATATATATATATATCATTAAAAAACAACAACAATAATACATCACATTATTAAAATATTTATATATATTTTGGTTTCTCAGACATGCCATTTAGTCAATCATTTGTCATGCAAATGTAAAATAAATTTCCTGCCACTAGGGGGCAGCATAGTTTCAATCATACAGTTTCAACATATTACAGGAACGCTTATGGCTCGGCCTCTTACTCAATGTTAGCTAACTGTCCAAATTTGACATGGTTCCTCGTGATCTTTAGCCCCTCCCAAAACACCCACCCACCTCTCTCCTACTGGGGCCAGTGCCTCTCTCGGACTCCCTTGATTAAAAAAAAAGTGACAGTTTTATGTAGAATTCTGAGAGAGGAGACCCTAGGAAGAGACATGGGTCTTGTGGTCTGTTGCAGTAGCCCAGTGGCTCAGAGTGCAGTCTGCCAAACAGTGCCTGTAGTTTTGTAGGGTAAATGTTTCTCTGTCCTAGTTAAAACAGTACATCTGTTACAAACTTTTCTCTGAAAGTGCAATTGATATTGTTAGTTTTCACTTACGTGACTTCACCCACCGCAGTAGCATGTACAGTACTGCTACTCAGGCATTGTGTCAGTTTAGTTCATGTCAAAGTGGAGACAAAAGATATAGAGCAAAAGGAAGACAACTATTTATTTGCCAATTTCTCCAATAGCCTGTACTTTCTGATTTTGTTGAAAGTGCACACAGCATACATTTCCTACTAGTGAAAGCAATAGGAAGGTCCAGGGGCGGTTCAAGGGTCAGGAGTTATTCATGATTTGCCCAAACCTCTGAGGATACATATGAATCATCATTTGTTTAAATATTAGAATAATATAAACTTTAAAGTAAGGTATCATTTTTATGAAGTAAATATTTATATATTACTGGATATAAAAAATGAAAAGGTCTCATCTCTATGCATGCCAAAAATTCCATGCATCCCTTCAGTCTTTCCATAGTTGTGTAGAGGTTGACAGTAGTGTCATGACTTTCACTTGTCATTGCAAGTGTTTTGGTTAAGTTAGTTAGCTGTTTATATGAGCGTTTTTGAGGGAAAAATTGTTGCATTACCAAAGTTTGTGAAGTTCATGGCCTTGGTCATGGTCTTTATAATCAATCATTTGTCATGCAAATGTAAAATAAATTTCCTGCCACTAGGGGGCAGCATAGTTTCAATCATACAGTTTCAACATATTACAGGAACGCTTATGGCTCGGCCTCTTACTCAATGTTAGCTAACTGTCCAAATTTGACATGGTTCCTCGTGATCTTTAGCCCCTCCCAAAACACCCACCCACCTCTCTCCTACTGGGGCCAGTGCCTCTCTCGGACTCCCTTGATTAAAAAAAAAGTGACAGTTTTATGTAGAATTCTGAGAGAGGAGACCCTAGGAAGAGACATGGGTCTTGTGGTCTGTTGCAGTAGCCCAGTGGCTCAGAGTGCAGTCTGCCAAACAGTGCCTGTAGTTTTGTAGGGTAAATGTTTCTCTGTCCTAGTTAAAACAGTACATCTGTTACAAACTTTTCTCTGAAAGTGCAATTGATATTGTTAGTTTTCACTTACGTGACTTCACCCACCGCAGTAGCATGTACAGTACTGCTACTCAGGCATTGTGTCAGTTTAGTTCATGTCAAAGTGGAGACAAAAGATATAGAGCAAAAGGAAGACAACTATTTATTTGCCAATTTCTCCAATAGCCTGTACTTTCTGATTTTGTTGAAAGTGCACACAGCATACATTTCCTACTAGTGAAAGCAATAGGAAGGTCCAGGGGCGGTTCAAGGGTCAGGAGTTATTCATGATTTGCCCAAACCTCTGAGGATACATATGAATCATCATTTGTTTAAATATTAGAATAATATAAACTTTAAAGTAAGGTATCATTTTTATGAAGTAAATATTTATATATTACTGGATATAAAAAATGAAAAGGTCTCATCTCTATGCATGCCAAAAATTCCATGCATCCCTTCAGTCTTTCCATAGTTGTGTAGAGGTTGACAGTAGTGTCATGACTTTCACTTGTCATTGCAAGTGTTTTGGTTAAGTTAGTTAGCTGTTTATATGAGCGTTTTTGAGGGAAAAATTGTTGCATTACCAAAGTTTGTGAAGTTCATGGCCTTGGTCATGGTCTTTATAAAAGAGTTTTCCAAGAGCTGCAAATGGTCAGGCTTGAGTACAAAAGTATATTCCGTTCTGTCTGTAAAATAGTTGGTGCTTATTGCATCTGGATGGAGTGCAACTCGTACCAAAAAGTCAATAGATCCTCTAGTTTCTTCATTATGTCTGATTTATAGAGCAGATGACTAGAGACCTGACATTAAAACTCAATTGCTCAATTTGCTCAACACAAAACTCAAAAACAATTGGAGCATAGGCCCTGGAAGCCCATCCCTAGGACCGCTCATGAGACAGAAAGGTCTAAGAATGTTTTCAACTGGTGGTTAACTGGTTGTTGTATTAAGAATGTTACTTCAGAACGTGTAACTGCTATTACGCAAGTTTTATTGAACTTTCTAGCACAATTTAAGCACTATTTTTGTCAGTTAAAGGTTTAATGTGTGGCCGGGACGTTTTGGTACATTTTGTGGCGATTTACTTCATTTGATACTTTCAAGTTTGATACAAACTTTTAAAAAAGAAGAACACCAACATCAGATTCTAAATGTTGGCTACCTCTGATTGGGGCAATGAATGCATTCAAAACAGATGCCCTGAGGCAGTCTCTCTATTTTTCTAATTTCACCTCCAATCCTTTGAAGCAGAGAGCTTGTGGAGTGCAATGCTAATGGTGAACTCCACTCTAACTCCACAGCTCCCCTCCCCTTCCACTGGCTTTTACACCCCTAACATCTCATACTAACCAGTCTCCCTCTCACCTGTTCATGTCCTAATCCCTAATGTTACCCCTTACCTTCCCCTCACCTCCTCCCGTCCCTGCTCTCTTCAGGTGGCAGTGAGTGCTGACTCTCAGGAGACTCTATACACAGAGGGAGGGGAAAACGAGGGTCCCCTGGGGCTCAGGGAACTGTCGGACCCCCCCGTCAACCTTCCACCTCAGCAGCAGCACCAGCCTTCCCTCTTTCTGGTCCCTGCCACACCAGGCGCCTCCCCAAAACCGTCGCGACCTAGCGTCCACACACAGCACAACCCCTACGACCAGTACAACGTGTTCTCCAGGCGCTCCCGCTCTCCACCCCTCCCATCTCCAGCCGCCAGGAAGCAGGAGGAAACGGACTCGGTGGATCAGGAGGTATCCCGAATTATCCGAGCGGGGCTTGCAGGGAGGAGCGACGATGGGATCGGAGAAGGGACAGGAGATCAAGGTGCAAGACGTCAGCTTAAGAAGTACCACAGCGTGGACACTCAGGGCCAGCGAGCTCTGCTGTTACCACGGCCCTTGTCCTGGCTTGACGACCCACGTCGGCACTCCATCGAGGTGTACTCGTCCATGGAAAGCAGCCCCCAGTGCAGTTCGAGCTCCTCCGGCTTCGTCTCACGAGCCGATAGCCTTCAGCAGCAGTCCTCACCACGCACCCGCAAGAAGAAGATGAGTCCGCCGTGCATCTCTGTGGATCCGCCCGAGGGTTTGGAGCTTCCGGGAGGCTTTCATGCTGCTCTGGGGATGGTGCCACCCCCGTTGCCAATTCGGGACACTTGCTTGAGGAGGCGCGCTCCCTCCAGTGACTCCAAGGACTCATTTGATTTGGGTGGAGGAGGAGATGGGCTGCCTCAAGAGGGCGTCCAGAACTCCAAGCTATTGACTCTGCCTAGCTTCTCTTTTGAGAAAACAAGCTCTGAGCACTGAACACTTGACTTACACGTTCACACACACACGCACGCACATGACACACGGTGCACTCTGTGTATCCGTGATGGTGATAGTAATAGTAATAATATCTTAGAGAGTAATAATGCTAAATGCAACAATGATGAATACTCCATGATCACGAGGAATAGTAACTATACCTTGTATTTTTTTTCTCTACTGCCAAAAGAACACAAAAATACATTTTGCTGAGGATTAAACAAGCTAATAACTAGACTCTCTCTCCTCAAAGATACCTCCTTGTGGAGGTGAGCGCAGAGCCCGGGGGAGGGTGCCCCCTTCTGGCCGTTCACAGCACTGTATTGCTGAACTCCCTAAAGGGCACTGATGAAGGTATAAAGCAATATGAACGTTTCAGAGACACTATTTTCTTAAATTATTGGGCCATAGTGTTTGTAAAGGATGTAGAATTTCGTTTTTCGATTTTGTTATATAGTTTTATTTGTGTCTTTTTGTGATTTTCTCTTTTTCTCAATGTTTAAATCGTTTGTCGTTTGCTTTATTTTTTCACCATAGGATATTTTTAGCCTTCTTGTTTTAACAAAGACAAAAAGAAAGAAAATATTTTTCAAAGTGCCGGGATGTATTTGTAGGGATAATGATATTATTATTAATAATAATAATAATAATGATGATAATAATACAGGTGCATCTCAATAAATTAGAATGTCGTGGAAAAGTTCATTTATTTCAGTAATTCAACTCAAATTGTGAAACTCGTGTATTAAATAAATTCAATGCACACAGACTGAAGTAGTTTAAGTCTTTGGTTCTTTTAATTGTGATGATTTTGGCTCACATTTAACAAAAACCCACCAATTCACTATCTCAACAAATTAGAATATGGTGACATGCCAATCAGCTAATCAACTCAAAACACCTGCAAAGGTTTCCTGAGCCTTCAAAATGGTCTCTCAGTTTGGTTCACTAGGCTACACAATCATGGGGAAGACTGCTGATCTGACAGTTGTCCAGAAGACAATCATTGACACCCTTCACAAGGAGGGTAAGCCACAAACATTCATTGCCAAAGTAGCTGGCTGTTCACAGAGTGCTGTATCCAAGCATGTTAACAGAAAGTTGAGCGGAAGGAAAAAGTGTGGAAGAAAAAGATGCACAACCAACCGAGAGAACCGCAGCCTTATGAGGATTGTCAAGCAAAATCGATTCAAGAATTTGAGTGAACTTCACAAGGAATGGACTGAGGCTGGGGTCAAGGCATCAAGAGCCACCACACACAGACGTGTCAAGGAATTTGGCTACAGTTGTCGTATTCCTCTGGAGATGGGCTGCCTCAAGAGGGCGTCCAGAACTCCAAGCTATTGACTCTGCCTAGCTTCTCTTTTGAGAAAACAAGCTCTGAGCACTGAACACTTGACTTACACGTTCACACACACACGCACGCACATGACACACGGTGCACTCTGTGTATCCGTGATGGTGATAGTAATAGTAATAATATCTTAGAGAGTAATAATGCTAAATGCAACAATGATGAATACTCCATGATCACGAGGAATAGTAACTATACCTTGTATTTTTTTTCTCTACTGCCAAAAGAACACAAAAATACATTTTGCTGAGGATTAAACAAGCTAATAACTAGACTCTCTCTCCTCAAAGATACCTCCTTGTGGAGGTGAGCGCAGAGCCCGGGGGAGGGTGCCCCCTTCTGGCCGTTCACAGCACTGTATTGCTGAACTCCCTAAAGGGCACTGATGAAGGTATAAAGCAATATGAACGTTTCAGAGACACTATTTTCTTAAATTATTGGGCCATAGTGTTTGTAAAGGATGTAGAATTTCGTTTTTCGATTTTGTTATATAGTTTTATTTGTGTCTTTTTGTGATTTTCTCTTTTTCTCAATGTTTAAATCGTTTGTCGTTTGCTTTATTTTTTCACCATAGGATATTTTTAGCCTTCTTGTTTTAACAAAGACAAAAAGAAAGAAAATATTTTTCAAAGTGCCGGGATGTATTTGTAGGGATAATGATATTATTATTAATAATAATAATAATAATGATGATAATAATACAGGTGCATCTCAATAAATTAGAATGTCGTGGAAAAGTTCATTTATTTCAGTGATTCAACTCAAATTGTGAAACTCGTGTATTAAATAAATTCAATGCACACAGACTGAAGTAGTTTAAGTCTTTGGTTCTTTTAATTGTGATGATTTTGGCTCACATTTAACAAAAACCCACCAATTCACTATCTCAACAAATTAGAATATGGTGACATGCCAATCAGCTAATCAACTCAAAACACCTGCAAAGGTTTCCTGAGCCTTCAAAATGGTCTCTCAGTTTGGTTCACTAGGCTACACAATCATGGGGAAGACTGCTGATCTGACAGTTGTCCAGAAGACAATCATTGACACCCTTCACAAGGAGGGTAAGCCACAAACATTCATTGCCAAAGTAGCTGGCTGTTCACAGAGTGCTGTATCCAAGCATGTTAACAGAAAGTTGAGCGGAAGGAAAAAGTGTGGAAGAAAAAGATGCACAACCAACCGAGAGAACCGCAGCCTTATGAGGATTGTCAAGCAAATCCACAGCATTCTAATTTATTGAGATGCACCTGTATATCTCCTTAAAATAAAGCATTAAACTTTGATTTTTAAGCACAAGTATTAGACTGGTGTGCCCTGACAAAAGAGTCTATTGAACACATCTGCAGAATGGATTGTGCTACTCTAATGACAGTCTTTCAGACAGAAGGGAACAAATACTTACATTAATTGAATTCATGAAGCAGAAAATCACTGCAAAAAACACACAAGCCACAGAAAACCAGATAAGCATTTCTTTTACATTTCATTGGAACTCTGGTTTAATTTCTGATTGTTTTTGGCACATTTTTGAACACCAGGTTATCTTTAGTGAAATAAATGCTATATTATGAGTACAGCTCATACAATATTTGTGTGAAATTGTATCATTAAAAAAATCTGAGAAAAGCAAAACATTTGAACATTTTGTCAATAAAGAAGTCTCAAGAACTTTGTGTTCTTGAATTAAAATGTTGAGAGGACATTTTGTCCATTTTGCTGGGCAGATTTGTCTGCACAGTAGGACCAGCAAAAAGAAACACACGACCAAATTTCTGCATTGAGGTCGAGAGTGGACACGGAGTAAACTATGAGAAAATGGGGTGCTTTGTTAAAATAAAGTTTTGTAAATGTATTTAATATACAAGAAACACAGCTTTCATCTCTCTGCTCTTAATGACCTGATAAACAGGACTTAAATTAAGAACTACCGTGCAAAGATTATCGTCATCAAGTTTATTATGAATTATTTTGAAAGATCATTTTAAAATGGCTTTGAAATACTTGCAGCCTTCTAGTAGTCTTCTTTATTGAGAACCACTACCTAAGTGAATATATAAGAGGTTATTTACATATTCTGCCTCCCTACCCTTATATTTTACACTACACACATGCTAGTTAAGGTACATTTAGTTCTTACACTTAAGTCTCACTCAGAATCGAAATGCGTGTTGATTGAAGCTGTTGTCAAGTGCTCACTGGAGCGATTCCCTTTGGTTTTCATGAGAGCTAATCGGCACATCTGCAGAGCTCCTTTCAAACTCAGGAAAGCTTGCGTTTCACAAGGTCCAACTCTGTAATATACCCTTATTTTGCTTCAAAGCCGTGGATGCAGTCCAAATCTTTGGCTGCTGTTTGTAAATGGCTTCAGGGTGTGTTTGAACCTTGTTTTTGTCATTGGACCAATTTCTGAATGATTTACTCGCTTCACTTCAGCAATCTACATAAGATTTCTCCAGTCCCACTTGAATTATGCATGTGCAAAATGCATTGAGAGTGGTATGCATCATGATGGTGTCCATAATTACTGTAGGATGTGCAAAGCACTTGATATTCTACAACTCTGCAGTGCACCAGACATTTGGTTACCGTATAAACGCTTTATTAGTGGTGTGTAATTCTACCTGTAGGATATCTTTAGTGTGGATTATTTTGACCAAGGTGATGCTAAAACAAAAGAATGCAAATGGAAAGTGCCATCTGTTTGCTATATTATTTAATACTTTGTTACTTCAAACATTTGGCTAACATATCAGAGTAAAAACACTGACACTGAGATGATGATGTTCCCACTCAGCTTTTCCATTAAACCGCAAAATCCTGGAAAACAGCTTGAGTGACCAGATGGAAAAGGAAAACATTGAAGATATTGGTAAACATCCTCAGGAGGAAATAACAATTAACCTCCACTGTGCTTCTATGCATGTAGATCATGTTAGCAATTTGGCTTCTCCCTGGGTTCCCACTCCTAAAATGAAGCCTGATAGCTGAGGACCTTCGATATTCAAGCTGTCCATCCCTCCATGCAGATGATGAGTATTGGAAAATCTATGATGACTTCATTTACTGAATACGCTGACTCAATCAATTCGACTTCCAAAACATGACGCAGTTCCCGTTGAAGACTGTGATAAGATGGCCTGGCTGAAAATTGAACATTTGGGGAAACATCACCTCGAGGGATGTTTTGAGGTGGGTTAAAAACTCAAAGGCCTTGTTTACCAGACAAAATGTCATCAAGACTCTTTGTGAGGTCCTCAGTGATTGGCCGAGTTGCTATGGCGAGTGTGTGCTCATCAATGTTGCTCTGGCGCTCCGCTGAGCAAGAGCATGTGTTTCTGAAAGCCAGAAGAAATCCATTCATGACCTCCTCCAAATAAATGCTTCAACACAAAAAGATTTTGCGTTTACTTAAGCCAAATATGTTGTCAATTTTGGAATAAGCCTAAGAAATGGAATAACAGAATCTCTTTTCTTTCATTTTTCATTTTCAGTGCTTCTGGGGCGTAACAGCTCACTAACTTTACAACTGCACAACATTCTTTTTGATAAATTCTAATATACTGCAGCGTAAGGAGATGCACCACCAAAGAGTCTGTTTCATTGTTGACATTATTACCTGTACGAGATAAAAGCTATTTTATATGATGTCTTGAAGTTAAGTGAGTGGGAGGTTAGATAATAGAACTTGATAACAGTGTACAACCAGACCACTTGAGTCATGTTTTCCCAAGCACATAAGCAAATTAAAAAAATACATTTATTAAGAATTTTCTTGCCTATTAGAACATGAAACTGAAGGCGAACAAGTCATCTGAAATGATTCATTAAAGGAAAAAAATGTAAAAAAAAAAAAAAATTAAGAGCAAATTGTGCTTCCTCCAAAAATACATTTAAATATTTTCATGAAGTCAAAGTAATCTCCTTTGGCATAAAGGTAGCCTTCAGGTCATTCACTTTAAGAAATCCTTCTTAATTTTGCTTGCTTCAGGTAATTTTATACAGAAAGAGCTTTTAAAATGAGGCCAACAGAAACAGTCTGCACTTGGAACACCACAAGCCTGGTAAGGTATCTTCTCCCGATGTAACCTAT